CTCTTGAGAAGCCATTTACCCTCATCCAGGGTCCTCCAGGTATTGCTTTAACATTTCATATTAAAAGAAGATGAAATACTTGGGTCTTGACGCGTGTGCTTACTTTACTTTACCTATTCATAATACTAGGTGAAGGCACCCCGCCCTTAATCCTCAGCCACTGAGGATATATTGAATGTAAATCATGGTGACGAAAAAACTTCATTTTACATGAACAAGAATGGTTTTATCTCAAAATATTTTCTTCTCTTAAGGGTACTGGGCAAATCTAGCTATTACTATGTCTACCTGTCTGTCTGTTTGACAACCTTTATCACAACTAACATTTGTTTGTGGTAAAGCTTTATAGTTAGTCATTAAAAAGATCAAATAATGCATCTATGTCCATTTTGAGGTACGGGCAAGACAGTGACAGGTGTCCACATCGCCTTCGGTTTCGCGAAACGAAACAAGCAAAACCTCCATAATTTTGATCTGGGAAGTCAAGAGGAACCGAAGGCACCACCGCAAGTTATTTACTGCGGTCCTTCCAACAAGGCAGTAGACGTTGTGGCCGGTAAGTTTCTTGAAAAGAAAACTTCGCCATTTCGATTTGCTACAATCGTTTAAGTCATTTTGATTAAGACGATAAATAAAAATATTTTCAGCCCTTTGCATTTCATTCACAACAAAATTCGAACGAAAAAGTACCACTGAATATGTCCTTAATGATATTAAACACGCGTTTCGTGGTTTGGTTCTGACAAATGTGTGGTAGTAGAACACAAGAACAGGTGTATCACGCAACGGTTGTTAAATTTTCCAATCCACTAGACTCTAATGAAAAATAACAAATCAGCAATTTTAAGGATAAACTAACTTTTTTCTCGTTTGCGTTTAATAAAGAGTATATGATTAAAGTTCCTGGCCTCAAGATCATCCGCGTGTACAGTGATCGGAAAGAGCAGGCTGAGTTTCCAATCCCTAACAAACGCCAGTCTCTTAAACAGTCTACCGACGATGGGACCGGAATACCTGAGAAACTGAAGAACGTTTCGCTACATCACATAATTCGAAAATATCCATGTCCATATGCTGATGAATTTGAGATGTACGAAAATAAGTTTGAGGATGATAGGAAGGAAAATAAGAGAACTAGCATGAAAGAAGTAATTGCATATTGCCAGGTGAGCACTCAAGCTACAACACTTCTTGTGGAATCGCAATGTCTTCAAGAGAGATGTTGAATCAACGAAAGTTGTATAATTTATCTACATATACTGGTATATTTTAAACACTGATCAAGTTAAATTCACAAGATGACCTTTGCATTGAGTTTTGACCCACGCAGTTACCCAAGCCTCCATTTGTCCATTCGTCTATTAGTCCATTCATCCACTCGTTAGTTAGTTCATCCATTCAAATTACGTTCACTCATTCATTTAGTCAGTCAGTCAGCCAGTCAGTTTGTGTGTTAGTGACGTCATATTTCTTTCTTTCATTTCTTCGATGATATATCTATAATTACATCATTATTTCACCATTTGCTCATTTGTTGGCTTGTTTACTGATTCACTCATGTTCAGCTTATCGGCAAAGCCGAGGTTTGGGCACTTCAATCATCAGGAGCCCAGGTTATCCTGTGCACGTGCTCGGTTGCTGGTAGCCGTAGGATGGTAAC